AAAACAATGTTGTCATTTGTCCAATAGCTGCCAGTCCCGTAGGCATGTTGTATTTCCTGTTGAGCTTTGTAATTAAATTAATAGCTTATCATAGAACTTCTTGGCAGATGTCTTGGTTACATATTGCTCATTATGGCTCATGAAGACTGGATGTAACATCTGAAGTTGTTAGCACTTTCATGAATACTGTGGTCGTCATGATAGCTGCGATTTGCAGTTGCTTTACTGGAATTGATTAAACTGTAAACCTTGTAAATTTCTTCAGAATCAGTGGTTTTCTCTTCCAACGCAAAGAGTAGTTTAGTGTTTGGCCTCTTTTTCTCCTTGGCTTCGTCCCCTAAGTGGGAAGGTGGTAACCCTCAGCAGACTAAACAGCCTGGCATGGCCGCGAAAAGGTGCGCTAGATGCATACCTTCAGATTGTCGTCGGGTCTTGTTTTTCAGACGTCATCTGGCTGACCTACTTGCCGTGCAACTGAGGGTGGATGACGCCACAGTCTTGACCTTTAGTGTTATAAAGCGCTACGCGAATGATAAAATCAGTTCGGAAAACATCACTAACAGTGCGTAACGGAGACGATAACAGTGTCTGGCCTGATAGTTTGCTCCTCCATTCCTGCTGAAAGTCCTGAAACTAGTCTGCCAGTCTAGTGTCAGTTGTTGGTACCAGTTTGAGTCTCTCTTGTAGCCCATTCATTGAAACATTAAAGATATGTTTACTGGTATATGAAATTCAGGCATCTTGAATATCAGCTTTCTGTTTTGATTCTAAAGTTGAAATTTTGGCTTTGACAATCACTTCAACGAGTAAATAAGATACAGATCTGGAAGATCTTGTTCAGGAATATCAGGGGCTGTTTTAAAAAAATTTTAATTTTATTTTTTTTTAGTTTTGTTTCTTGTTGTTTTGTTTAAGGCCTCAAAAACAATGGGGTTGTGTGAGCACCATAAAGACGGCCCAGCTGATGTTTGTCGTACAGGGGAAGGAGACTCACAGCTGTGTCGGGACACTTCAGCTGAATGAAAATCAAACATGGTCTGCTAATGGGATTTAGCGTTCCCGCAAGCACCTTGCGCTATTTCGGGAACATCTCCTGTGCCGAGCGCTGCAGAGGCGCACGGAGTTCATTGGCCGTCATCCATCTCCGCATCTGTTTGGTCCGTTAGCGCAGGCCTGCCTTCTCCAGGCTATCCCCCCCCCCCCCCGGGGAGGGCCTCACAAACGTCTCGTGAGTCTCACTTTTTTTGTTTTGTTTTTACCTCCTTAACCAGGTGCAAGAAGTGGAACATTCCTGTCGAGAAGATCTACAACAAAACCCAGCGTGAGAAGTTTGCCTGGGCCATCGACATGGCGGACGAGGACTTTGAGTTTTAACTGGCTTTGGCTGTAACTTTTTAAGCATCCGGGTCCTTGAATATTGGCTTTTTTTTTTTTTTTTTTAGGGTTATGGATTTTTGTTATATGCCGACTTGACCAGGTTTTGGAGGATGACAAAGGGGCGTGGCTAAAAATGAGATTGAAGGAGCTGAAGTGTGTGTGTGTGTGTGTGTGTGTTTGAGTGAGAGATGTATGAAGTGTGGAGCATTGTGTTTATGAAGCAATGGGTTTCCACTGTTTTTTTAAATCTGAAGTGGAGGGTGAAATGAGGAAGTAGTCCCAAACTGCTTGCGAGCATTTTATCTTTGGAATTCGGTTATATACAGTGGCTTGGTGTCTAACCTGCACCGCTCTGACACTCAAAGGTTCGTCGAGCTTGTGTATGCTGTGGTTTGATGCTACTGTATTTAGCGAAACCATGATTTTTCTTAAATGTTCTTTTTAACCTGTATTTGGCCAAGATTTATTGGTGAATTCTATATTTTAATAGGAAAATGGTTCCTTGTGGCGATGAGAAACCAAGAATGAACTGACTGCAAAACGTGTGTGTGATTGTGTGTGAGAGAGAGGGAGAGAGGAGGTGAGTGGAATAGAGAGAGAGAGAGCGAGACAGAGGTGGAGGGAGAGGTGAGAGTGTGATGCGTTAAGTGTGGCTTTTAGTTACTCTGAACTGTGGAATTCAATCCACAATGAATGGGTCTCAGAATCAGTATGGAAAAAAATACTATTACAACTATGTTCTTGTAATTAGCACACAGAATGTGAATGAATTACATGTGTTTGTTATTTTACAGTTTCTATCAGGGATTTTTCCTTCAATACATATGTGAAAAGTATTTTCCTTTCAATTGCATCTTCAGAACCCAATGAATTCTCTGTCTGCACAATTCTGTGTTACCATCCGATTTCAACTCCCCTTTCAGCTGTTTCCAGGGGAAAGCAAAGTCTGTTACTTTAAGAAATGCCTATATTTTAATGTTCCAGTGTAGATTCGTCATATTTTTCCCTTTCAAATGGTCAAATGAAAAGATATGTGAGGGAGATGTTCTTTGCCAAAAAAACAAAAAACAAAAATAAAAAAAAAAATAATTAAAAAAACCTGGTAACTTTCAATTTAGGGTGTTTTTGTAATTGTATAAAGACAGAAAGGGAGAAAAAGTAACTTAATGTGAATTTATTAGTTACTCTGTATAGGAAAAGCATTAGTGAAATTAGTCAATGTTAATGCTTTATCGGATAATCCTCTTGTCCCCCATCCTGTTTTACCCCCCCCGCCCCCGTAGGTTATTTAAAAATAAAACCCCTTATAACTTTTGTTGTTGTTTTATGTGATGGCTTACATAACTTATATTGATAAGTCAACACGGAAATCTTCAACTGGTGTTAAATGACAAAAAATGAACTGTACTGTGATGCAGACTAAATCAGTTGTGGGCCGATCTTACATTGTAAACATGTAATTGTAAAACCACACTTGGGGATCCACAATTAGGCAGGAGTGCACCAGGCATTGTTGGGAATGGAAACCGGGAAATGTGTTGGTGAAATCAATTCCCTTATTCGGAGTAATCTCTCCCAACTTGTTTTTGAAGGGAGGAATCAATTTCTTAATTCCCTCCCCGATTTACGATATTGAAACCACTGCTTTAAAATGGTGGGAATCCTGTAGGCAATATATAGACCTACGTTTTAGGCTGCAAGTCACCTTGTTCTGAAGGACGGCAACATCATAAGTAGCTCTAAATAACACATTTTAAAATTATTTAATATTTAATAACATGCATCATAGTTCTTGGTATCCCTTCTACCACCAGTAGAGGTCCCTGTAGTTGCTGTTTGACTGCAGGGAACTGGGAAAGGCACTGGTGATACTGGTACGTTTTCTTAATGTTCATTTTGTGATGAAACATTGTGAGGCTTCAATTGTTTTTGGAAAGATATGTGTAAGTAATTCACATATAGGTCTAAATTATATGATGTCATCAATTTAGCCTAGTAAATACATCCCCTCTGAATTTTCTCATCCTTAATACATGTATCGTTATTTGATATTTGGATGACATATAGGGATATATATAGCTACCGCAACAAGGATAACTGGCCTCAATATTGTCATCTTCTTTCCAGTTGTACAGCTGCCTTAAAACCGTTACATGTGGTGAGTAAATTCAGCCAGTTTCTCCTCTCACCTTTGGTAGACCTATGCAATTAATAATCATTATTGCAAAATATGGGACTCCACGTGACCCCATAAGAAATGACGCCTTAATCTTAATATCTGTCCTGGGAATGCCTAAAATGAAAATTTGCCTTAAAACACAAAATTTCAGTCGTTCAAAAAAAAAAATAAAAATATATATATATACACACACACACACACACACAGCATATACTCTAGGGAATCAAACTAATTCAATTACTCAATACTTGTCCCAAATTAAAACTGTGTACATATGGTACTCCAGTCTTCATTTATACTGTATAAACTGAATCAACGATATGCATTTTTGTTTTTAATAATGGAAGAATATAAGCGCAGGTCCATGAACTGGGGTAACGCTAGATGTTTTTGGCATATAGCCTATTGGACCCTGACCAGACCAATTATATTCCAATATTTTAAGGGCCCTGTCACTCAGGAGCCGTCGGAATCCTACTCACTCTATCTCAACCCCCCACCTCCCCCCCTGCTTTTACTCCACCCCTGTCCGTGAATAGTAGCAAATTCATACGGGATGCATCATATAAGGATCTTTACAGCATTTAATATGTTCCATATTGTTACATTGTCTATATTTACTGCATTTGTTTACAGTTTGCTGAATTGTTTTTCCGGACATTTCCTGTATTGTTTCATTTGTAATTTCCCATGTGGAAGATAGAATTTGACTGGTCTAGGTGGGTGAAAATAATGTCAATTTAAATGGGAATGTAAAGGATCAAAACTGGTCATGTATAAAAGTGACGTGGAGTGCAACTAAAAACAATCCAGAACAAATCGATACCAAGGTATCCAGTTTTCAGTGAAGCCTTAAAGCCCGGACGCATGCATGAAACTCTGAAATAAAAGTCGAAGAATACGCGCACGGTGATGCACACTTCCTGGTACGCCGTTTAGGCCCATTTTATTTGGTATCTTGGCTTGGGTTACAGATTGATTTATTCCTTTTCGAAAGTGACATGCAGTATTTCATCCATGTGTTCAGCTGCATACTAGAGCAATTCAGGTCAAGTGCCTTTTCTGAAAGGTACAAGATCAAAGGCATCAGGGTGATGCCAAACCTGAAAAGGTGTTTCACCTCCAAGCTGACTGCTATGGTCAAGCAGTAAGTATCAGTAGGCCTGGCATGTACTCTACAGTGACTACTAACAAAAAAACTATAACAAGTTGTATGTTTACTTGCGTTTATGAAAATAGTACAGGCAGCACATACACTGAAGTCTGCATTTAACTTCCTCCTAAAATAGATGTTTGTAATCCGGTGGTGCTAAAATGGCTTTTTAAGGAATGGCTGTTGATTTTTTTTTTTTTACCTGGTGCAAGAAATGCACGGCAGGCCGAAAGGCGGGTCTGTGTCTTTAAGAGGCTGATCCGCCCGGCGCTTTGTTATACAGAAGGGGTCCGGGTGGGGGAAGGGCAGATGCGGCGTCTCAAGCGCACCGCCTAGTCTATGGCAGACTCTATGGAGGCTCGCTACGGGACGCCGAGGGAAAAACCGCAGAGCCTTTCTCGGGAATAAAAAAAGAAGAAAACCGTCATTTTTTAGGCACAGAATGATATAAATGGGCGGGTTTGGAAAGGGCTGGCATACGAGAGGATAGCCGGGGCCGGCGCAGCGATGTGCGGGGCCGAGATTGCACTGAGACGACGCATCGTGTTGCTTTTGTTGCGCCGATTACGATTTGAGAAGGTAAGGCGAAGGGTGCTGGAAAGGGGGCCAGAAAACCCGGCGCTACCTGCACCGATCGCCCCCGATCCCTCTAAAGCCGCGAGCTTCCACCTCCTTACGGTCACTGCGCCTCCGGCGGAGCCCCAATCTCTCCAGTGCTGTCGTGTCGGGATTGATTTATACATTTCACTGTATTAAAAGCCACGAAAACGGGGAGAGGGAGCGCGACTTGGACACGGCTTACAGCTAACCAAGGAGCTGCATGGGAAAGGGAAGCGCTCCCTTTGATCGGCTGCGTTTCATACACATTAAATGCTGCACTTTCCTAAAAGTCTCACGTTTTGTCTTCGTGGGAAACGTCTTTGTATAGATAGGCGACAATAACGGCTACATGACAATATGCTCATAATGTAATTATTCTCTTTTTAAAACATAAGGTATACGATTTGCACCGGGTATATTTTAGATTTATTTTTAATCGCAACTTGTGGCCAACTTGTTTTATTTTGTTATTGCTTTTAATCGTGATTCCCCCCCTCTTTCTTGGCAAATCCGTGACAGTGTCGTTTCTTTTCTCATAAATAGGTGTCCCCGTTTCAGCCACCCAGCTTGTAAATTGTTCTAAAAGGAAAAGGACAACAAACGGGGGAAATGACCATGGCCGGGACCAATGCCTTCTTCTCCAACGGACCCGGCGCCTGGATAGAGAACGACGCCGAGGTTAACAACCTTTACAGGGACCTGGAGCTGGGCACCGTCCTGACTCTCTATTACTCCAAAAAGTCCCAGCGGCCGGAGAGGAGGACATTTTCGGTGAAGCTGGAGACCCGGCAAATCATCTGGACCCGAGGCACGGATAAAATCGAGGGCGAGAGTGAGTATTTCCCCAGCCATTTCTCAATCGGGAGAAAAGTTTCCTCATTGTCATCTTCAGCTATATGATCCAATGGGTCATATGCAGAGATGAAATTGATCGTAGTACAAGACACAGTGATAAATGTGAAAAACATTTAAACACGACATATCCCGTCATGGACATAAGACAAAGATGCAATTAAAATATATTTGAAATATTCAGTACAAACTGTATCCATGCAAGTGGGCAGTGTGTAATGTGTCTGAAGCGATCCGCGGCCATTAACCGTGTTTATTGACGGCGCCTGCAAATGCTGTTTATTTATAAGGGGATGCGATCACCGGAAGGTTACCGTGCTATCGGATTTGCTCGGCCTTAGAGGTGAAGTGATGTTGCATTTCGTTCCTTTTCGTGTATGATTGCAAAACACTTTTTCTTTTTTTTTTCTGATGGGGGGGGGAGGGATGTAATGCTGCCTGAAATTATCAGACTGGGAAGGCTGAGAATTTGTGGCAGATCGTTTAATTAAGCAACAGGCTGACCTCGGCGTAAGATAATTGCGTAATCGTAATTTCATTTTGCCAATTCAAGTATGTAATCAAAATACCGAAACATAAGGAAAACTGTATGTTGGCAGTATGCCTCGTAGGCTGTACTACATGGGTATTTTCTTTCTGTTGAGGCTGTAGACGGTAGAGAGCATATAGTGTAAATGATTTTATTTCTTGTATATGGAAACGTGAAAATGTTTTAGCCTAGACTTATTTTATTGCGCTTGGGTGATATTATTATTGTTGTTATTTGAGGCGATCGAGTCCCCTGCGCTGCTGCGATAGTCCGTCCCGTCCTTCGCAGGATGTCTGGCGAACGGCTGCACTCTGCTCCGGATGCAGCAGAGAAAGGGGGAAAAAAACAAGCGGACCTCTGCAGATGGTTGTCATGCATGTGAGCTCATATCGGCCACTTGATACTCCAGATGGGGCGTTTAGTATTGGCGAATGTTGCCCATCAGGGTTTAGAAATAGCTGCGAGGCTCGCTTTTACTGGAAATGTAGGCTCTCTGCCTTCCTGATTTTTTTTCTTTCGTCTTTTTGACTGGCAGAGCAATGTTCATAGTTTCTTTTTTTGTGTTACTGTACGACAATCCGCACCCGTTTCAGTAATTAAATTATATGAGAATGTCCAGCTGTTTTCTCTGTTTTGGGCTGAGTTAGGAAAACAAAACATATTTCAGTCCAGTTTCGTTTTGGAGGTTCATGTTTGACTCGGGCACCTAGAAGTATATATATTTTTCCCTTTTAATCACTGGTTTTAGGTGCGGTCATCCGTAAATGAAATTCACAGCCAGGATTTTGGTCATGCAGACAGTTAACATCAGTTGGATTTATTTCACATAATTTGTACTGCAATATAAGTCTATTCTCACAGATGTCTCTTAAAGCATCTGTTCTGTATTCATTTCCTGCAGAGTCTGTTCCACAAATTTGTGCAGCATTAACATCTGTTGTATTTTGGATAAAATGACAGGTAATCAGTAATACTGCCTGTAAGTGTGTATATCTTATGAGTAGTTATAAAGTCACACATTTAGTATTCAGCTGTCATTAAATTTAAGTAATTGCCACACTGAAATACCGTATTAAAAAGAGACGTGTGTTTGAGATTCAGTTTCACACAAACATTAAATCCGTCCAGATTGACTGTCATTGAGTGGTCGGGTAGGTGTACCAGCTGCTCTTTTAGCTACTCGGGGGGCAGGGAGGGTCATTTCAGACAGAATAACTTGGGGAGCAGCTTGTCGCTGATCTCGCAAGAGGCTTTCCTGCAATTTGTGAACAGCCCTGAAAGATTTGGTCGGCAGTCGCTTATGTGCCCGCTAACAGCATAGGGTTGCTCCGCCAAGCATCACATCATTTGACCTGTTAAGTTATGGAGGTTGTTGAGGCTGAGAATCAAATTTCATATGAAGACTTCATGGTTTTGCCTTCTGTGGGACATGAGACACAAACCTGGTGGCTTAAAAAAAAGAAAAATTTGCCGATGGTACATTTGTGAAAACTCTTCGGTGATTAATTTTGGTCACATTAATTTACCATCTGAAGAACTTGTATGTGGAGTAATTCGTGGCGCTGTGGATGGTTGTCTGTTCAGATCCCAGGGTTGGCAGAGTTGTTTTCCGGTTCAGTCCTTGAGCAAGACCCTTAACCTGCTGGATAAAATAAATGTAACCTCTGGCAACTTTCAGAAAGTTTAGGCATAATACAGCCATCTGTCATTTGTGTGTTAATGGATGGGGTCTGAAC